GTCACCCATTCCATTACTGTTTTCAGTTCTTTGTTCAGAATATCAGTTATCTCTGTGGGAGCCTGTGTATATATTGTCGTGTCATCCGAGTATATAGAGACTTGTGCTTTTTCAAGAGCTAATGGAAAATCATTTGTACAGATTGAGAAGAGTAAAGGACCTAGTGAACTTCCTTGTGGAATTCCACTTGCAACAAATCTAGCACTAGAGATACTGCCATTAAAGTATACACTTTGAGTTCTGTTATATAGATAGCTTTCTAGCCATGATATCGCCTTTGGGGCAAAACCATAGCACTCCAATTTGTCAAGTAAAATTCTATGGTCTATCAAATCAAAGGCAGCGCTATAATCTAATAGTACTGCTCCGACCATTTTCTTCACATCAATCTCTTTCATCCATTGATCCGTCATTTGTGTTAATGCTGTGGCTGTTGAGTGACCCTCTCTATACGCATGTTGATACTCACTCATCAGACTGTTAACAGAAAAATAGCATTGTATTTGATTGAATACCATTTTTTCTAGTAGTTTGTTTAGAACAGGTGACAGGCTGATTGGTCTGCTGTTAGAGCCAGTGAAGGCATTCTTTGCATTTTTAGGGAGTGGAATAACTTTAGCTACTTTCCAGATTTGCGGGCATGTACCTTCCAGACTCATGTTAAAAATATGACAGATGGGTGCAGCAATGAACTTGGCTACATTCTTTAATAGCTGACCGTCTAAGTTATCAATACCTGGTGCTGGTGGTTTATCATTATTGATTGCCAACAATAACTTTTCCACCTCTTCTGTCCTAACTTTATCCAGCTTAAAGGTGCAATTTTTGTTTTTCAAAATACGTTCTCTAATATTAACATAGGACGACTCGCAGCTAGATTTAGGCATTCCCTGCCTTAGCTTCTCCACTTTATCAATGAAATAGTTATTAAAATAATTGGCAATATCTAATGGTCTAGTGATGTATGCCCCCTCTGATTCTATAAAGGATGGTGTTGAGTTGTTTTTCCTACCCATGATGGTATTCAAGGTACCCCAGAGCTTTTTTCCATCATGCTTTATATCATTTATCTTAATCTCATAATACATTTTCTTCTTCTTTCTGTTCAGTTTTGTCACATTATTTCTTATTTTGCAATATAACTGCCACTCAGAATGATTGCCGGAATTCATTGCTGCCCTTTTTGTTCTGTCTCTATCAGCCATACATTTCTTTAGCTCCTCGTCAATTCATGGTGCCTTTACTGTTTTAACGGTTAACTTCTTAACAGGTGCATGTTTATCCATCACTGGTAACAACAATTTCATGAAAACATCCAGTGCCACATTTGTGTCACTCTCTTTAAAAACATTAGACCAACATACTCCCTTAACATCCTCCACATATGAATCACAGCAAAACCCTTTATATGATCTCTTCAGCACTATTTTCGGTCCTGCTTTTGGGACTTTGGCTTTCCTACATATTGCTACAAGGTTATGATCGCTGAAGCCAATTGGTACTGATACCACTTTTGAGCACAGTTCACTTGTGTTTGTGTATATGTGATCAATGCATTTGGATGATGTTACTCCAGAGCTATTGGTAATTACCCTGGTTGGTTGATTGATCATCTGATCTAGGTTACATGCACTTGTTACCGTCATCAATTTGTTTTTCAATGAACAGTCTGATGACAGCAAGTCAATATTCACGTCACCCAATAAATATATCTCCCTGTTTTCATCACATGTCTTCTCAATCATTTCACACAATTTATCTAGATAATTACTATCAGAGCTTGGTGTATAGCAACATCCCAGCAACATAGGTTTGAAATGGGGCAGGTGAACCTGCAGCCATACCATCTCTACCTCACTTAACATCAAATCCTCCCTATACTTCACAGGAATGTGACTTTGTACATAAAAAGCCACTCCTCCCCCATTGCAGTTTATATCCTTTCTGTAAAAATTGTACCCCTTGTATTGATATTGCACCGTCCTCAAACGAGTCATCTAAGTGAGTTTCAGAGATGGCCAAAATATGAATATTATTTGATATCAACATATCCTGAACACACTGAACCTTATTTCTGAGGCTGCAGATATTCAAGTGAGCGATCTTTAGCCCTTTCTTAGGTAGTTTAGCATTCACTGACATAAATAGAGATAGACTCACAGAAAATTAAGCACAATGTCCATTACAGTTCTGATGCTAAAGTGCATGTTTGTGTGTGTGTATGTGTGCATCCCTTGTGTGTGCGTGTGTATATGCATGCACCAAGCTACGAACCCCTTCTGTCTCTTTAGTCCCTTTTCTCAGTCCTCTGAGATGAGTGGCGTGAGTCCGTTCTCTCAGCCCTTTGGGAGGGGGGGATCGGCGGATGGGTGGGGGTTTGCGGAGGATGAACAATGAGTCTGTCGTATCTAATGTAAGCAATGTTCCCTTTGCTCCTTTCGGCCTTCATGGCAGGGATGAGTTCCTTTCTCTTCTGGCATACCGCTTCAGGATAATCCTCGTTGAGGAAGATGTTCGTTCCTTTCAACCTGTTTCGTCTCCCCATCACAGCCGTCTTGTCCTTGAAACGCAGAAACTTCACAACAATCTGCCTAGGCTTGTCTGCGCCCCTGCCGTTTCCCATTCAATGTGCCCTTTCCATCTCGATCCTCTCCTCATCCATCTGTAGTTCTGTTCTGAGCAGCTCCCGGACCTTGTACTCCGATTCCTCCCAACTCTCCCCTGGAGACTTTGGGATTCCATCAATAATTAAGTTTTTGCGTTTCGATTGGCCCTCTAGATAGTCTGATTTTCCACTCATTGTCATAACAGATTCATGCACAGTACTAATGTCTGTGCGTGCTTCTTGGCTCTTCTTCTTCAACTCCTTACAAGTCTCTTTTAGTTCATCCACTTCTTTTTGGGAGAACTGTAGACTGTTCTTAAGGTCCTGAGCCTCCCTATTCATATCATCCATTCTCTTGTTGGTGGAATCAACCAAGATTTGGATGAAACTTTTAAAATTGTTTTCTTGCTGCGTTAGTAGCTGCCCGTATGCATCCTGTTGTTGTTTTAACAGTTCACGCACCTGTGACAGGCTGACGTTGTCCTCTCCTCTCGGCGGCATGGTTGTTTGGTTACCGTGAGTTTGACGCTAACTCCAGTTAATATATGTTAGCTCCTTTGGAGATAACATATATTAGCTCCTTTGGGTTTATACATTTCATGGCAATCTATCCAATATTTCTTGAGATATTTTTGTTTGGAGCAATAGCTAATATGAGATCCATCAAAAACTATTGAATTATTGGATCTGTTATCATCAATGTTTATCAGAAACAAATAATTAAACACCTCAACCTAAGGACAAAGCATATTAATCTGACACAAATTCAAGTAGTTTAAACTTTAAACCTGGGCTAACATGAGGCTGAAATAAAATAAACATTAAATTGTGGACAGTCACATCTGTAACACAATCCAGAGAATTCCTCGCTTCATAATCTGCTTAATAGACATCAACAGCTGCTGTCAGTGCCTGCATGGAGTTTTAATTAAAAAAAATTAAAATGATATGTGTGTTTGTACCAAAAATATCTGCGCCATCATCACATAACTGATGACAGACAATGGCTAAATATTTCGAAAATGTCAGGAACCGCCTGGGGACTCGACCAGATATTACATTATGTCCTCAGCATACGCACTGCTTCAGATTTTAAATACCAGTTGCATGAAACCTTCTGGAGAGCTTTAACTTTTGCAATCTGAAGATTTATTCAAAGAAATACACTTTTCCCCAGTTCCCATTAAGATTGCAACCTGTTTGAAAATAACACTTGAGTTTGGATTAAGGAATTTACGGATCATCAGTTTTTGAACTCTCCAAATAACAAGCATGCTATTTCATCTAGAATTACTACGCAGACACAACATGAATCTGCATCACAGATAATGATATAAGACTAAACCTACATCATTGTCATGATATAGACTAGACTCTAGTCTATATCATGTCAATGATGTAGGTTTATTTATTTAGTCTTAAAATAAAAATATATACATTATTTTTGGGAGTAACTCTAGCAGCGTACAGTATAGACAATTAAGAGAAAGTGATGGGCAACATTATTAAATGTATAAGGGAAGTGTCCATCTAGATCAGGGGTGTCCAAACTACAGCCCGTTGTCTACTTTGAATTGGCTTATTTGAATAAGTACAATGGAATATGGCCCACACGTGAAACTTGTGCTTTTCTTATTTTTGTCTTCCTAAATATATATGTTAACATATATTATACTGTAGTGTTCTTGTGTTAAGAAGTCCACTTTCAAATAAATGTGGACACTCCTGATCTAGATCATTGGCAAGAGAAAAGTGCATTTCGACCCCGACCCTTTTAAGGAGATATTGAGTGGTAGCGCTGGACTGAAACAAGAAGCAGCTTTATTATTATTAAGATGTCAGTTAGGAAATGTATTCCATTCAATCAATTAATCAAATGTTACTGATATAGCCAAATATTTAAAATTACTATCTGTAAAACATACCCTTTCATTGATTTGAACAGTGACCAACTCCCCCCCCCCTCTCAATAAATGAATGGTGGAATAAATGTAAGAAACCTCAGGGAGAGCAACAGAAGACAGAACACTTGACCAGGTTTTTACTTTATTCGGTTTCTATTTCATTTTATTTAAGGTTAAGTGCTAATTGTATTAAATAATTGGTTGCTACAAGTCCAAATTAAAAGCCTCCATTAAAATGTGCAGTCAGTGTTGTGATACTTACAGCATGTGTTTGTCAGCCTGGAGCATCCTCTAACTGTGAGAGGGCAGAAATGTCTCGGTAGAAACAGTCTTAGAGCGCCCTCTGTTGGACTTAATGTGTGTTGCAGGTTAAGTAAGGCACTATACAATTATATACAGAGTATATAAAGGGGTCTTCTTCCAATCATCCCCTCTCATTGAATATATTGAATATAAATAAATCATGCAAAATGATTTACTCCCACACCATGTGATTTGAAATGTAGTGATTTATTCCATGCTAAAGCTTGATCAATATAAACCCCCAGAAAGAAACAGTAATAAATACAGCATATCATGATAGAGAAAATAATTTGCACTTATTAAAAAAGAAAAGACCTCAAGTAATAACAGAGATATGACATTTCTCAAAGTGTGGAGTGATTCAGAACAGAATCTTATTGGATCGGAGTGTATCGGTGCAGATAGCGGTGAGCCTCCAGGGGGGAACAGATTGGAGATATGTTGGATATATTCATCGTATTCAGTCAGTTATTTATGCGCAGAATCTGAAAAATAATCATCAGTGGTTTCAGCACGGAAAACAGATGTTTGGGAGTGTCATCATGCAACCCCTGGACAGCAGATACCCTTTCACTATTACAGTTGGAATTAGAGTAGAAGGATTGATTGCATATCTAAAAACTGACACCGTACATTTTAATATTGTGATTCTTTCCAGTGTTTAGTAATCTCTAACTAGGCCCAATAAGGTACAAAGTGAGACTCAGTCGAACATAACAGGCAATGAGAAGGTACCTTTTACATTTCCGATAAATAAATAACTGCTGCATTTCTTCTGTCTTAAAGTTATTTGATATTTGAGCCTGTCTCGGAAAAAGTGCTGAAAGCTCTAACGGACACACACATTCTACAACGTCTCAACAACACGCTTTGGTTTTCAATTCATACACATCAGAACAGATGGATGCAGTACAAAAAAAAAATCATTCAGTAGTAAGCACATGAGATTTTAGAGCAGATGTTCTAATAGAAAACTCAGAAATATTCACACCAGCAGCTTTAAATGAATTAACCATCACCACGTTGACATTTCAAATAAACTGTAACCAATCATGTGCATGTAGCTTTTCAATCTTGCCTTTGCACAAGTATAGCAGCAAGTTTGTCTCAAATGACTTACATTAAGACACAACAAATTGACATTAATGCTCGTCTGGTTATTATTATGTCTCCACTGCACCATTAACTAGCTTTATAACTCCTACTCAAATTGGTGTAAAGAGTGTAAACATAAGATTAGAAGACTTTTTTCTGCTCTAGATCTTAAAAGAAATAAAGAAGCCAACCCTATGAGGAGATATGTGGGTGTTAGGAGGGAGGAAGAGGAGCAAAAAGAGAAAGCAGAATACAGGAGAAAGAGGCAGCTGTCCAGGCCCCGCAAGGCCTGTCTTCCGTCCTCAAAGGAGCAGAGATAGGCCTGTCCTCCCCCCGTCCCCCTGTGGATGATACCCGTCTGCTGAGCAACGATAGGGCGCAGCGACTAACACGCACCCACTGAGGGTGAAATTCAGCGGGCAGCATCTGGGTGTTTGTCTGCGTCCTGCTGTGCGCCTCGTCTCTGGGTGCGCGCACACACACACACACACACACACACACACACACACAAAACTCATTAAAAAAGTCCAACCATGCAGAGGACAATTATCAGAATCACTCAGGTTGGAACTAGTTTCCAAAATCGAGACAAACAAAACTTCAACGGAAAGTTAATAGATGAAGATGTGCCGGGCCGTTTTGAAAGTGAAGTACCTTGAATTAGTCGTGATAAATCACCAAAGTCCTGATTCTAGACCTGTGTTTTTGCCTAGTACACTCATAATTAGATTCCTCGTATCTCAATATATATTTTCTAGATCCCTTATAAAGGGCCTACCTTAACACTCCAAACACAAAAGACCAAAATGTCCGCTCAGGTAGGGGAACAGAACTTGAAAAAGCGCCAAGGGTTTCACGTATAATGTAACAACCCTTACATCTTAGTACAATACAAGATAGACATTGTATTATAATATAATTAGCAAGTTTAATACATTTTACATTCCCATCCTTTTCAGTGTCAACCATTTTCCGAGGCCTGGTCACGGCAGAAGGTAGAACAGCAAAGTACGTTTTCATTATTGGTTACTTTTGTTTGTGTAAAATGTCACGGAGCCCATAGTGGTGTCTTCAAATGACTTGTTTAGCTAATCAACAATCTGAAACACAAATACAGTCAATTGACCATCATTGAGAAAGGAGAATAAAAGAACATTTGGCAAGGGGTTATTTGCCATTTTGCTCTTTTCATCAAAACAGTAAATAATCAATAAATGTCAAACCTCTGGGAGTGATTATTCACAGATAGCTAACCCAGCTTATTTCCACTTGCTCTGTGCCTTGTTCTCAAGATCTGAAATTGTTTTAATCAATAAAGGATTCCAATAAAGAAGGGGAAAAACAAGTTAGATAACATTCAAGAGACGTATTTGCACCAACGACACCTGTTGTATAACTGTCATTAATCCCTGTTTTAAACTTATTATCAAGTCCAACTTCTGCACTGATTCCATTGGAATGATTGATTTTTGCCAGTGTTGCGTTGTAGCTGCTGTAGTGACCAGACCTTCAGAAGGAGAAAAGGTTGATTAACATTCTGATCATGACTCATCAAAATAAGATGTACATTTCTCTTTGCAAAACCGCACAAACGCAGCTCTTTGGTACATTCCACTACCCAATGAAATGTAAGGGGCATTGAAACATAGATTAAGACCTTAAATGAATCATATACATACAAAAATGACTGAATACCTGAGAAAGATACATTTTTAAATGAAAAAGATGCCATAAATGGTGGCTTGGGGGTGGAAAGATAAGTGGGCTAAAATGTAGTCGACAGAGAAAAGAGACTCTCCTCACAACATTACATTCAGTTACATCAGCCACACCTTGTTTTCCAGCCATTGCTGATCTAAAACAAACGGGAGGGAGGAACGCAGCAATCAAGGAGCTTTTCTCTCCATCTTAAGAAGTCATATGTGAAAACCCTTAGGCGTACGCGCGTGCACACACACACACACACACACACACACACACACACACACACACACACACACACACACACACACACACACACACACACACACACACACACACACACACACACACACACACACACACACACACACACACACACAACACACTTTTTTGACTAAAGCCAGCCATTGTCTTTGTAGCACCAGCTGATGAGTCTCGTTAAGGCCAGCTCGTTAGGAGAGGACCGTCTCCGTGGCAACAGCTTGGTGACATCATGTCTGTCGTGAAGTCAGTAGTAGGACATTTGTTTTTGGTTTAAAGAGTCAGCAGCAAGGCGTTGTTGAGGAGTGTGTTCAGTTCCATGCCTGATTTGTATTCCTCTCACCCTTTGACGTAATTTTCAGGCCGTGTTTGTTAGCTAAACACATTCCCACACGTCGAAACATGTCAGTAAAACTTGTCATCGATGCGGAAGTGCGGCCTGGTGACATCATCGGGGTTGAGAAAGACCGATATGGATTTCCCAGGGTTCTCAGTGACCAGCTGCTGCAGTCGCTGCGCCAGCTTGTCCTCCGACGGGGAGATGATGCCGTTGGCTGGGTTGTGCCCGGGGGACCCGTGGCCGTTGGTGCTAGCTGTTAGCTCCTTCTTCAGCTGCCCCGCCTGCTGGGCCTGATGCAGGGCCGCCCGCAGGTGCTCGCTGGGATCCGATCTCAGGTGGGCGAGTTTCCTGGCGACGAGCAGCGCCTGGCTGTCTGTGAGGTGCTCCAGCATGTTGCACTGGGGCAGGAAGTAGTTTGGGCAATTTTTACCCAGGATGCAATGAGCGAGGTCATCAAGGAGACCTAGGATGAGGCGGCCGGCGGTGTCGGGGTCAGAGCACGACAGGTAGGAGGCAGGAAGTCGGTCGCAGGCCCAGAAGAGGAGGGTACGCAGATGATAGAGGCTGAGGCCACGGCGAGGTCGGGAGAGGACACGGGACAACACAGCCTTCGCTGCTTGGAAAGCCTGGGCCATGGGGTACGGGATGCACTTCTTCAACTGAACCTGGGAATAAGAGAAATAGAGGACCAATCAATAAAGACATATGTAGACAAGACATGTGAACAGTTTGCTAATCTGACTCCAAAAAGGTGTAACAAGCTCCCAATTGATATCAGGACAACAGAAAGTCTACACATCTTCCACAAAGACAGAAAACTCTTTAGTTTCGTCTGCACCTTGCATATCAAATGTAATAAAACGTTCACATTTCTGTATGTAGTACTTTAAAAAATTGCTTTCTTTGATCATATGGGCATATCTTTGCCCAATAACTTAAAATGTAACACAAAGGCAAAGAAAGAAGACCAGATGGAAGCATATAGATGATTTAAACCTGACACATTAACAGTCCGCTCACCTCGCTACGGGAGAATGCCAGCCTCCACTCCCTGTCGGGCCGGCCACCCAGCGGGGAGCAGCAGGGAAGCAGATAGAAGCCCGATATGGCTTCCTCCTCTGTGATTTTACCATCCCAGAAGTGGTTGGCCGTCAGCCAACCTTGAGCCACGGCAGGCCAGCCCCGGAACGACACCACAGGCAGGAGGTCGTACAGCACCCGGCTCGATCCCGCCTGCAGGGAGGGAGGGAGGGGGGACATAACTTTAACAAGAAAACTCCGGGGAACCTTAAAGATCTCCTATCATGCTATTTTTAGGCATATATTATGGGTCTCAGATATATAAAAACCATGTCTATCATGTGTTATGCTCAAAATACCAAGCAGATCATATATTTTAGACATCTCTCATATCCCTCTATTTCAGCCCTGTTAGAGAACTGCTGATTCTGGGTCCTTAGCTTTAAAAAAAAAAAGAAAAAAAAAAAGAGGAGCTGGTGCCTGCTCAGAATTCTACCGAGATACAGCTAAATGCTGCCGTGATTAAACGCCATATCATGTTCCAAACCACATCAAGGATTATTTCTGAAGCAGTTGGGAGCTCAAATGCTTTTTCTCTTGCGGGTTTACCACAAGGTGAATTCCTTTTTTCATTTCCTGCTTTTCTACACATACTCTCTCCAGTACAGGTTAGCTCTGAGTGTTAGCGATGCTTGCTAATGTAAATGTATTATCTTTTCAATTTACACACGGCATCTATTGCACGTCTGTCCGTCCTGGGAGAGGGATCCCTCCTCTGTTGCTCTCCCTGAGGTTTCTCCCATTTTCCCTTTAAACTGTGGGTTTTCTCTGGAAGTTTTTCCTTGTACGATGTGAGGGTCTAAGGACAGAGGGTGTCGTATTGTCATACTGATATTCTGTACAAACTGTGAAGTCCACTGAGACAAATGTAACATTTGTGATATTGGGCTATATAAATAAACATTGATTGATTGATAGGGCCGTGGGTGTAAAGGCAGCCCACATTTCCGATATTACGTTATATCGGACGCAAATCTGGATCAGCTCCGTTGTACCCCCGTTTTTAGAGATTTGGGTACGGAGGAAAAGAGAGAGGGTTTTGTTCCCTGACACACCGGGGACACATATTTATGTATAAAGGACCTTTAAAGCATTCCATATAGATAACAAGTTTTTTCAGTATTTCTTCAATCTGTACCTGGAGGATGATAGTGGTGAGGGGGCCATTCCTCTCCAGTCGGTCCGGGGTGGGAATGCCTCTCTGGGGGCTGCGCCTCAGCTCGTCCACAGCCTCGCTCACCACCCCCCAGAACCAGTCTGTCACCAGGGAGGGGGAGAAGTAGCACCCGTCCAGAGACTGAGGGGAGTCCAGAGAAGGGATGGAACCTTTACCTGAGCAAGGGAGAGAGGGAAGGGTCTAAATGCTGGGGCCCTCCATACGGACACAACAGTTTCTGGTTCTAGCTCATCAAACAAAACATGCAAACGGAATCTAGTTTAAATATTTTGGTACCTGTTAGATGCAGTATACAGTCAAAAGCAAACAATGTGCCAGTGCTTTGCTGCAAATAATATAAATCAAATTTAAATTCTTGCCCTTTTTTTAACCTTTCAGTAGCATTTTGCTGGGATGCATGTCAATGCTGTTAACTTATCAAGCTAATCCCCCCCTGCCACCTGAAGTACTGTTACATAATACCCCGTGGGAAATGTTATGATACGACCAAGAAATATTGCAAATGTGTTTTCCAAACGGCTGCGAATTAAAGCGATCCATTTCAATAACGTCATTACTTTTTCCCATCTTGGAAGTCTCCCACTGGCGAGCGGTGTGGCAGATTGATGTCGAGGCGTAATAAGGTAGCTTGAACTTTCGATTGTGCGGCTATACTCATAAATGTTGCAGCGTGGGGAGGCGTTTCTCGTCTAACATATCTGAGGAGTTATATAAGAACGGGCAAAAGTGCATCATGCATCAAATTACCATGGGGGGAAACACGGAAAAAATGAAATTGGCTCCCTTTCGTTTAAGGTGCTACTTTGTACTTCTACTCCACTACAATTCAGAGGTAAATACTGTACTTTCACTCCATTACATTTATTTAATACCTTTACTTACTTTGCACATTTGGATTAATGATGTGAAATATAATCAAGTGTTAAATCAGACTTTAGTTCCACCTGGAGTAAATTCACAAGCTACCCTGCAGTATACAAAGTCATTAAAACTAGCTTCACTTTTACCAGCTTTGAGAACACTTTCATGATCAATAATTATAAAACATATAATATATATTATTCTACACAATGACTACTTTTGGTACTTTAAGTATATTATGATGCTTATATTTTTGTACTTGTACTTGAGTAACATTTTGATTGCAAGACTTTTACTTGTAACAGAGTATTTCCTACACTGGTACTTCTTCCACCTCTGCTTATATCTTTCTACCCATCCTCCCTTCACTCCCATCCTACTTACACATATCCCCCTCCTCTTCCTCCTCCTCCTCGTCCTCCTCAGCGGGGAGTCCATTCTCCTCCTGGCAGCAGATGCTCCAGCGGGACATGACGTTGGAGTCGCAGAGGCGGAGGCTGAGCCAGGAGTGGCAAGGGGGGGAGTGCCTCATGTCCAGCGTGACGGGCTGGTTGCGGTCGTGGAGCTTGAGGGCGGGCACCAGCAGGGTGAAGTCCAGGTCAAAGTCGGCCCCTTTGGCGTAGTCCCCAAGATCCTCTGGGTTGAGGTCCAAGACTCCCTCTCGGGCCCCACCTGACAGCAGGAGGTACTCGTTGGCCACCGGGAGGCGCTGGTCCACTTTTTGGACTAATCCTAAAGGGTTGCAGGTGAAGAAAAAAACTAAATCACACTCAGCACAATTAATATTCAGTCGTCGGTATGTTTCGAGATGCGTTTCCGCTAGGGATGTTAAGATTCACCGATTCGCATCGGTGCACCGGCATAAACGTTCAAGATGCGAGTGCACCGGTTGAAAGAGTGCACATCGGCTACAGTTTGGGTGGAACTCGCGATGCATCGATTGTAGCGTCTTTGCATCGGTAAAAAAACGATTCATTCATATAAAATCCTCTCAACCTGTCAGCACTCAGCAGAGACGATATTTGATCTTTGCTTCGCCACTACAGCGGCCGAGAGTCTCAGTTATCAACACACATGGAAGTCGAGGAGAAAGAGAAACACAGCACACCGAAAAATACCTACAAATCAAATGTTTGGCAACACTTCGGATTTTTCAAGAAAGACGGACAACTTGAAAAATCGCTCGCAAATTGTAAACGATGCCGTGCCGCTTTAAAGTACACAAGTAGTACGAGGAACTTAGCGACGCACATAAAGAGGCGACATGGGGTCTGCGGCTGAAAAGAAAAACCTGAAAGTTAGACATACGAGTTAAATCACTTAATATGAGTTAAACACAGTGGTGTTTAGTGTACAGCAGACTGTGACTGCCAATAATAGTTTAAATGTCTTCCTTACTGTAAGCAGTTATGAAATACCTGTTTGTGAAATTTTATTTGTATTTTTTATTGTTTATATAGAAACCACTGCTTTCTGCTCACTGGTGAGTTAGCCTATGGATGAGTGTTAAGCACATCAGGCTGGCAGCTGTATGGGCATTGCACTATGGTAGTTGTTATTTGCACATTGTTAATCATGGGCAATGCATCCTTAAATTGTTTAACTGTGAGGTGTTATAAAATTGTACTTTACTCTGGAGACCGGTCAAGATTTAGTCGACTAAAAGTCTGAGCATTTTAGTCTTATTTTAGTCAAAGAAAACTAATTATTTTAGTCTACTTTTTGTCAATGAAAACTGTTGAGTCTTTTTTAGTCATCAGATTATATAGAACATTTCAGTCAAACTAGTCAGCCAAAACCAATAATTTGTCATTTTAGTCAAACGTATTTCACAATAAGATTATATCTTGTCCTTGTTTGATGAAAAGCAGGTTGAATGATTAAGAAAGCAGCTTTGCAGAGAGTATCTGATCAGGTTTGTGGTGTTTTTACCAGCTGTGCTTCCCTTCTGATAAAACAATGCATTCGCTTTTTTTCTCCGCCTCATTGTAGCGAAAATGGGCCCAAATATCACATCGTTTCTTTCTCCCAAGCAGTGGTGGCTTTAGACTTTTTCGTTGTCAGTAATTTTGACGGACAGGATCGTAACATTTCCGTCATAATCCATTATTATCCGTCGAGTGCACAATTTATCACTCACTCGCGCTGACGGGGGGGTATTCGGTTAACGTGAGTGCGACCACTGCTCCCAAGCCCTGTTGCCATTTCATTTTCTGTTAAATAAGGTTAGTTAGACCATGAGTTAGACCCGAGTCTTCCTGACAGTTCAGTGTGCCGCTGCCCGGTGTAATTCAAATCTACCGCCGCGCGCACCGCAGACACACAGCTGCTGCCCAGCCGCAGCGCCGGAAATGGAACTGCTGGGAGAAAAACTGACTATCAGAGATGTAACGTTATCTTTAATAATATTTCGTCTCCTCATTTTTCGTCAACGAAAGTAAAGAGAGATTTTGGCATAGTTTTTATTTAGTAAACTACATTTTCGGCTCGTCACTTTTCGTCAACGATATTGCATGATGATTTCGTTACAGTTATTGTTTACTACCGTCGGTGCCGTCTCGTCATCGTCTCATTTTCGTCAAGGAAAAAAAGGTCGTTGACGAACATATTTCGTCATAGTTTTAGTCAACGAAATTAACACTACTGGAGACAGAGAACACTACTACACTTGTGAAAAGGCCAGTTTGTGAAAGGTCCAAGTGTTTGTTTTGTTTAAGGTAAAAAAGAAACAGCATAATGGGATGTGCAGTACTAGTAGAGAGAACCAAATATGTAAATCACTTTTTTGTTAATGTGTGATTTGCTGCATATAAGGAATAAAACAAAAATCCTCTGTCGTACTATATTGAATTGTATCATTATTTTGCATCGTGTTGAATCGCATCGTATCGCCCTGTATCGCATAATGTTGAATCAAATCGTATCGAACTGTATCGCAACAGGGGTGAATCGTATCGCATCGCCTGGTGTTTCAAAGGTATCGTTAATGTATCGTATCGTTGGCAGCGTATCGAGATGTGCATCGTATCGGCCTCAGTGATGGAGATGCACATCCCTAGTTTCCGCCAATGGGTTTTTTCTCTTCCACTCATATTAAAATGCATTTCATATTCAAATGCACGGACAAGCTCGGAGCACGCACACATTTCCAGCTCGGTTTGTAATGCATATATTTATGAGTATGAGCTGCAGTAATATTGACACAAGATAGAGTGTGAAATTAACAGCCCCTCTCAGTGACTGCTGGGCGAGACATTAACGAGAACTAGCCTACATGTCCTTCATTTCAGCTCTTTGCCGACATGCATCTACACCATGATTGGTCGAGGGGTTTCCGTTTTAGATTAGCAAGAAATGGGAAAGGAGATTTCCTGTGTTCATATTGTAGCTTCTTGAGTTAGTTAAATAATTGAACTATTCATATCTTAGACTGCACTGTAACTTCTATCTTTTAATGTTTATTTTATTAGCTTTTCTTTTTAATGACTGATTTTAAATGCCATTTTCTTAATGTCTTTCATTTTTTGTTTTTCTTTTAATGTTTCTTTTACTGTTTTTAAATGCCTTTGTCTGAATGTCTTTCATTTTTGTAAAGCACCTTGAATTGCCTGGTGCTGAAAGGTGCTATATAAATAAACTTGCCTTGCCTTGACTTAGTTGTTGAGGAAGTCTGATTGGGCAAGGCATACAAGCAATGATCGTTTTACTATATACTGCTTAAAAGGTATTCCTTACTCTCCTCTCTAAACAGTTTATAGGGGAGAAACTCACCCTCCAAATCCCTTTATGGCTACTTAGCTGTGTTGTAAACTTCCCAGGCTCCGGGCCCATGGGAGCCGCAGTTCTGGAGTAAATTATATTTTTCCAGCTTAAAAGAACAACTTGATCCTGCCACTAAAACCCTGTGCTAGTTTCAAGCTAACTGCCAGCTACTGTAGGTCAAAGGAGGAGCATGGACACTTAAAAACCCGCAGCAGAGGACAGATCCTGAGCTCGAGTCCCTCCAGGGCGGTTAAGTGGCTGCAGACAGCTGAAACAGGGGCATCAGACCGGGCCTGTAGGTCATGCCTCGGGGCACAAAGCTCCCCATGATTCCTCTTATCCAATTACATGGGCACACAACCTTAGTGGCATGTTTTCATGTGGTGGCATGTGTGTGTACCTAAGCGTGTTGGACTTGAAATTGTGACTCCAGAGAAAAGGAAAATGCCACAGCTACTCAAAAAGTGGCAATTTAAAGTGTGAAGATGTTACATTTAGAAAGATATTTTAGTTTATTTTAGATTTTATATCCAACGCATGATGCTGTGACTGAGGGACATTTCAAGAGCAGCATCCCCACCCACGCATTTGTTTCCTTCAGTATATCAAAAAAGGTAGAACAGTTATTTTTTAAATGAGAATTTGAGGGAAATATTCCAGGGACTGAAACGTCAAACTCAAATGAGCTCACGAAGATCTCTCTGGTGCTTTGCTTTGAGAAGGTGCAAAATGAAAGGGCCTTATTTAAGGCGACCACTGGGGTGGAGGTCGAAGAAAAAAAAAAAAGTATGTATCTTTGGATTTTCAAATGTGTTAGCAGAATCTCCCTGTACGGCTCCAGTCATCTCCTGACTAACTAGACTTTCAATCTCAGTCTTTCCTAAAATTCCCCAACCTGAACTATCTGAAGACATCTCCGAAAGCTCCATTATTAAATATAGACTGCAGGAATGAGTCCTAAAACTCTGAGAATGAGTTATCATTTTTGCAGTCATCTGGAGGTAACGGTGGGTTACGTATTAGCACAGGCGGAGCCATTTTCTGGACTCTATGGGTACTACTCTCATCAATGATACACGAGCGTTCACACACTGAAGTTGTATAAACGTAGCCGGCCAATCAGGGGGCGAGCCTACCTGAATGCACGCGCAGCTCACAGTATATAAAGGCGGCTACGCCTCCTGACTGTCAGTACTCCGGTGAGAAAGCGCCGTTTTAATAATTGCCGTGTGTGTTCAGCGCTCTGCTTCCACTCCCTGCACTGCAGCCGTGCCTGCAGTCCCGCCCCTCTCAAGCAAGCTCTAATGGCGCATTTCCACTACACGGCCTCGCTCGGTGGTTAGGCCTCGTTAGGACTGGCTCACTTTATGGCGCATTTCCATTACAGTTTAGGAACTGGGGTAGTATCTATAGTAACGCAGTGTAGGCGGAGCCGTGACGTCATCTTCAATGAGAGCCCCAGAAAAACAACACAGCCGTTAGCTGTTAGCACTCACAGCTCACAGCTCCTCATATCTGTTCAGAAACTTGACAAAAGTTAAACAAGTACAAACCACAGACTGTCTGTGTCATGGCGAATACAGTCGCTGGTTTATTTATGTCTGTATAGGCCGTTGTTGTGAGTGTGGACGGTCGGAGCATTTACAACGTTAGCTTAGCCAATCTCCATTTAGAAAACACGCATTTTAAAAGGTTTTACGCCTGCCGTCTGTCTGCAGACTTGTCAAAGCATTAATTCATGGTTTTTACTAACCGGTATCAGTATGTTGTTACTTCGGCATCATTTTGAAACGTGTATTACAATTAAATCACGGTAAAATATGTTCATTTTGTTGTAGTTGTAGCCTCCATTAGCCCCCGCCCCCCAAAAACTCGGTAATTTTCAAATATGTGCGTTTTTCATGCATTTTAAGCACATTTTTGCAAACTCCTCCTAGGGAAATGTTCGAAAAAATTCCAATCCAGGACAA